ACACCGTGAGGATCTTGGTGCAGGGCTTCCAGGTCAGCATCTCCATCCACACATCCATCCCCGTTGCCATGGGGACAATGCCATGCCAATGAACAGCTTTGCATCCACACCAGCACTTTATGGGGTCGGCTTGGTGGTCTTGGGCTGCATTTCAGCAGGACCCCATCCTTGCTCCAGGCACACGACGGGGTTTGCTCACTCCTTACCCCCATTTCCCTGCAGAATGAAGTCTTCCCTGAGCCCCTCTTCACCTGGACACGGGTGGGAAGCCGGCTCCTCGACGGCAGCGCCGAGCACGATGGCAAGGAGCTGGTGTTGGAGCGGGTCCCAGCTGAGCTCAATGGCTCCATGTACCGCTGCACTGCCCAGAACCCCCTGGGCTCCACCGACACCCACACCCGGCTCATCGTTTTTGGTAGGGCAGCAAACGGGGTCACCCCCCCACACACACGAATCCTCACTCATTTCCCCTCACACACACAATAAACTTGTCTCTCCGCTATTTCTTTTCCATTAGAAAACCCAAATATTCCCAGAGGAACAGAGGACTCCAATGGTGAGTGGCGGGGGCATTGGTATTTTGACCCAAAACACCCCGGGGAGTGAAGGACCGTGCAGAGCATCTGTCCTTGCATGTCCCCAAGCCCTTGGCCATCCCTCTTTGCATCACCCAAGCCCTTGCCTTTGGCAGCAGGGATGTCCTAGCACCAAAAAGGGTCCCACAGATGCTCCCTGCAGCATCCCTGACCTGCTGCACACCCCACACAAGCTCCAAAGCAGGTTTAGGAGGGTGATCCCCCCCCACCCAGAAAACGTGGTAACCCCATCCTGCTTCAAACCCAAGCACTGAGATATGGCTCCCTAATCTCCCATCCCTTTTCTCCTCCTGCCTAGGTTCACTTACCGGCCACTGCGGCTTCAGACTAGTTTTGGCGCTCACCCTAACAGTGATCCTGGAGCTAACGTGAAGCTTTGCCTGCCTCTTCCTCCTCCTCCTCTTCCTCCGTACGGCTCCACCCAGCATTGACACCTCCATCAATCGGTTCTATGCTCTCTTTTTGGTTTTCTATACTCTTTACAGTCTCGGTCTCTTTCTGTCTGTGTCTTGGCTTCCTCAGACAATTTAATTAAAAGGAAAAAGAGAAATCTTCCCCCTGGTAGAAGGCTGTGCTTCATGTTTTGCCTTGTGCTGGGGTATCCAGCACCTTCTTGGGGTACCCAGAGGCTTTGCAAGGGGTGTCCTCTATGAGACAAGGACCAGATTTCCCCTAGAAAAGCCATTTTTACCATTCCCACTGCACTGCCACAGAAATGATCAGGGGGATGGAGCACCTTTCCTGTGAGGAAAGGCTGAGGGAATTGGGTTGTTCAGCCTGGAGAAGACTTCAGGAGACCTTGTTGAGGCCTTTCAGTTCCTAAAAGGAGCCTATAAGAAAGATGGAGAGACGTTTTTAGCAGGGCCTGTTGTGACATGACAAGAGGTGATGGATTTAAACTAAAGGAGGGAGATTCAGGCTGGATGTGAGGAAGAAATCCTTTACACTGAGGGTGGTGAAGCACTGGCACAGGTTGCCCAGGGAGGTGGTGGATGCCCCATCCCTGGAGACATTCAGGGCCAGCTGGATGTGGTTCTGGGCAACCTGATCTAGATGAAGATGCCCCTGCTCATTGCAGGGATTTGGAACTGGGTGAGCTTTGAAGGTGCCTTCAACCCAAACTATTCTATGATTCTTTGTTGGAGATGAGCCCCACTCAGCCCTCATGCACACAGACGGTGGTGCTGGGAGCTCAAAAGCTTGGATCACTGGCTTAATCCAGACCTTGTTCAGGTCAAATCAGCTTTGCTGGAAGACAGGCATCACGCACATCACTTGTCCCAGCCTGGACAGTCAATCTCTAGTGACAGGCAGCTCCCAGCCCAAAATGTCAGCACTCACACATGAGTGGGCAGCATGGGCCCCATCGGGCAGCGCAGGCACCAGCTGAGTTTAAAGCACCCACATTTGGTCTGTTCCACCCTCTCCATCCCTCTTGGCTAATTGTCACCATGGAAACACATAACAGTCCAGTATGGCCAGATCCTGGCCATTCTCATGGTGCCCTGTACCACCAGGCACATCCCAGTACAACATTCATCCTGCTTTGGGATGGCTCTTTGCAAAAACCAGGTGGCTTTGCCCTAATCCTGCCCAGTTTTCCTGGCTGCTTTCCATCCCCATGATGCTTCGAGAGCATCCAGACCCAGGCCAGGATCCCTGGGGAGTGGATGGTGACTGGGAGGAACCTGAGGAGAGGGTGCTCCCTTGTCTTTTCTACTGGGAACTCTTAATCCTATAGGATTAGTCAGCAGCCATGTGGCGCTTCATCTTTGCAAAGCCCCGTACAAGTGCTAAGCATTATTATTACTATTATGATTAATTATTATTAAGCAGATTCAGTCCCCACCATGCTCTGTTGCCAGCCTCGCTGCGAGCGATTTCCCAGCCTCAAAGGAGCAGAACAGACATGTTTCTTCCCATACATAAAAGCACACGGGTTTACAATTTGGGTTGGAAACAATGCAGGGACAGATTGGAGCTGGCTGGGGTGTAGGAGGTTCAGCGGCTCTGCTTTCATCCCAAAGCAACAGCATCCCAGCATCCGCATCCCTTTGGACCAGCTGCCCAAAAGCCTGCTCCCCCTCTGACTGCTTTCATTGCTCCAATCCATTGCACCTCCCTGGGTGAGAAGGAAACCTTCATTTTTTGGGGGAACCTTCATTCTTTAGGGAAATCTGCATTCTTTAGGGAAATCTGCATGATGCTGTTCCCCCCAGCACTACCGAGCAGACAGGAGAGCCCCACCACAGCACGGATGCTTCTCGCCCTCTTCACTGCATTGGAGATACTCTGTGAGCTTCATCCCAACATGATTAAACAACCATTAGTCCCTCTTGCTTCGAAAAATGAGGATTTACAGACACCCAGACCTCCATTTAAATGCAAATGTGGTGGCTTTAGCCTGGAACCGTGGAAATGAGGAGCATTACAGTGGCAGTACCACCATCATCCAGCTATACTTTGTGATATCTTGGGAACAACATGACCTTCACATCCAGCAGCTGGGAGGAGATCAGTGGGCACTGTGGTCCTGCATCCGAAATCCACCCCTCCATGGGCATGCAGGATGCTTAGCTCTTTCCCCAGGGATGCTGGCATGGTGATGGATCAAGCTATAGTCTGGGACCTTCTCAGCACCAGCACAGCTAAAGCAATGAGGGAGGGGACATGGGAGCCTCTCATTTTGGGCAGTTGAGGCTGTTTGCTTTCCTAGAGTCCCCCCAGGGCGATGGACACAAAGAGATGCCATCCCATCCAGCAGTGATCCAAAGAAAACCATGCACACTGTGCTGGACCCTGCCTTCACCTCCTGCCCTCTCTCAACCTTCACCCACCACCTCACTCTCCATCCCCATCCACCTTCCTACAGGTAATTATGGAAGACATCAATTAAATCCCTGGCTCCCCCCTACCACACACCCCGTTGTTTGGGAACCTGGCAGTGAATAATGCAGGAGGCTGGAGGGGGAAAGAGCTGCTCGGGTTGGTTCATTATTGATGAGAGATGACAGATCCACGGCTGACAACCTGCCTATGAGATATGATTAGCTTGTGAAATATTAATGGTGCTTCTTGGGGATGACGCCAGTGGAAAGCCCCAAGGAGCAGCGTTATCGATGGTCCCTCATTTCAAGGGACTTTGAACAGGGTTTAGCAAGATTTGGAAGAGGCAATTACATTCAATTAGAGTCACAAGTGACGAGGCATCACTGCTGCTCTGAGATGCAGCCCCTGCTCCCTACGTGGCTGCTCATGCTCCTCACCTCAAGGCACACGTTTATACGTCAGACATGGGAATCCTCCTTCCTGACATCAACTCCCACAGCTCAAGCTCAGCAGACAGGCTTTGGTCCCCCCCTCCTGCCATATGTGAAGGCAACAGCAACCACAGCAAGCTGCCTGCTGGATACACCCTCATCCCTCCCTGTGCTCCATGTGTCATCCTCCCAAGGTCCATAAAATGACATTGATAAGCCTGGCATGCACCAGACTCGGGGTTTTGGTAACCCAGCCCTGCTTCTCTCAAGGATGTGGCTCATCCAAGTCCTCAATCCTTTGGGATGTGGGGGACACAAAATCAGGGATGCTCCCACTCAGTGGGGCTGGGAATACTGATGGGAGCAGCAGTGCCTTCCCTGCCTCCCCTGCCTCATTACTGGGCACAGTTACTGCTATGGCCACGTTCATAGGACCACCCAGTACATGCAAAATTCACCCCTCCCACCTTAGGAATGCAGGGATCTTTGCAGATCTACCTGCAGGTTAAAGCAGGCACCTGCAGCAGTGAGATGAAGACACCCGGGGGTCACAGCCCCACTCGGCTGCCCAGACCCTTCACCAATTCACTGAGCCCCAAACACACTCCCAGCCTTGATGCACATCCCGGTTACCTCAGCTTCAGCCCAGCTTCAGGCTCCTCTGGTTTTGCAGGATGACAGGATACCACTTTCCATGAGGTTTTGGCCGTGCCAGAGATAGATTTTGGGTCCCCATCCCAAAGTCAATGGAGGGAAGCAGGCGAGTGGGTTTTGGCTGGTGCTGCTTTGGCCCCTGGAGCAAGCTCATGCAAAGGATGCATCCCACCAGTGCATACCCTCCTCCAAAGTCCAGTTCTTAATCTGGATATCCTCATTCCCCCAACATCTCCATTGCTGCGTTTCCTCATACTGCACCCATACAAGGTGGAAACTTCCCCAAGGTCCCCCTAAAAGCCACTGGTGGGCTCCCCCCGTTCACAGCAGGGATGAGCACAGGGGGTCCCTGACTGCCGACCCAGCATGAGGAGGTACCCCTCTGCTCCCTTTCCATCCTTTCTATATACATATATAAATACATAGAGAGAGGTCTGACATGGATAGCACATGGTCCTCCATCTCAACAAGTCTAGCAGCAGGTATACAACCACTCCCATCCCCTTGGGCACCCTGTGCAAAGCCATGAGGTGAAATTCAGCATCTCAGCCCTTGCAGGTGCTGGTGATGGTGGGAAATGTGCCCCAAGGAGGTTCAGATGCTCCCCCCATCGCAAAAGGCAGTGCCTGACCTCATGCAGTGGCTGGTGGAGATGAGCTGCTGCCCAGGAGGTGGTCTGGGAGGCTGTGGACACCAGGTATGAGCTCATGAGCCCATTAAAGATCATGCATAAAAACCCTAAAGACCCCCTATTAAAGACCCATGGCAAGACCTCCTACCACATATACCCACGACCCATGCAGCAGGGACCCACCACACCTACACCACGTACAATGAGCTGTTTTAGCATCACCTGGATTCATTTCTCTGGCAAATCCCACTGGATTAAGGCCAAGCTAGTGAGTCCCTGCATACAAACAGGAGCAGCTGCCCACCCCCAGCTACATTTGGGCCTCGCAGGGCCTCATTGCTTCCTGCATCTCTCAGCATGTAAGACATTGCCCTCAGGGAAAAGGAAATTCATTCTATCCCTTCGAATTCAGCTCACTTGGCAGCAGTTACAGCAGGATGCCATTCCCAAGGCTCCCTCCTCTCTCCTTCCCCTGCTGCAAACCAAGCATTGGGACCTGGCTGCCCCTGGGACGATGGGGACAATAATTCCCCTGCGTCTTGGAAATCCAGAACAGGACCAGACACATCACTGACATCCTTCCAGGGGGAGAGAGAAGCCGATGTGGCACCGTCTGGCACTCTCTGTGCCTCAGTTTCCCCACAGTGACTCCAATCCCTACGGACACCCCTCATGCAGCAACACATCACTTCAAAATGACAACTCCCATCCCTCCCATCCCAGATTTCTTCCTGGTCCCAAAGCTTTCATTTACTTTCCTTAGTTCATCCCCCTCCCCATGCATACAGATGCAGGTCTTTAAATGTGGCAGCTACCAGCTGCAGTTTAACTCCTGCTTTGATTTCTTCTCCAGTGATGGATCCCCCCCTCCCAAAACCCCCAGGTCCTTTTTCACCAGCTCTTAATTCTCCTGCCACTTCCACGCTGGCCTCGGAGAGACCCCAGAAGCTTTCAGGCTATTTCCTGTCACCCTTCATTAGCTAACATGCCGCAAACAAAGGCTACTGAATTAGTCACCCGCAGCTGCTGGGTGTCAGAGCAAAGGTCTACCCAGCACCGGGCTGCTTCCCCCTCCCTTTCCCACACCTGCACTCAGGGATGAGGGACCTTTCCCAGACAAAACGACTTATTTTCTCCTTTCATTGCATGTTTGCTTCTAAACAGCCAAAGAACCGAGCAGGCAGCACCACCGGGCTGCTCACAGGAGATACGTTTCCTCCCTTCGCTTCCGTCTGAGCCTCTCTGTTTACCAGCCTAATAAAGCCGGCTCTGTGCCACCAGCTCCGGGCTGCACCTTCTCCCCGGAGCCCAGCCCATCCCAAACATGCAAAGCTTGTCCAGAAGCCTCCTGCCAGCTCTGTCCGCTCAAAGTCACCTTGCCCCAAACCTTCAGCTCCACGCTCCGCGCTCGCTCGACAATCATTAATCGGCTCCTCCGCATTCCCGGCATGGAAAAATGCCCCAGCGGGTAGCCCCGTCCTGGCATTTCGACATGCCGCTGGCCGGCAAGCTGGTCCTCTCCGCTCTGCTCCTCCTGACGCTGGCGTACAGGTTCTATAAGTCCCGTTTGATTGCTGGGGGTAACATCCCACGGGCCAGTGAAGAGCACAGGGAAAATGCTGCCCGCGATGGGGATGGGGATGATGCGGTGGGGCTGCGGAGGAGGAGGGTGTTTGGGGAGGAGGTGAGGAGAGGTGGTGGGGATGCACAAGTGAGTGGCACTGGGACACTGAGCACCCCCTCCCAGTGGGACTGGGGTCTGCCGAAGGGTGAGGAGGAAGAGGAGGTGGTTTCTGAACTGGGGTTGGCTGGCAAGAAAGTGGGGATGGGCAGGAGGGCAAGTGAGCTGGGAGGTGAGGCAGGAACTGAGCCTGGAAGTGATCTCGGAATGGAGCTGGCAAGAAAACGAGGAAGTGAGGCAGGAAACAAACTGGGAAGTGAGGTGGGAAGCAAGCTGGGAAGTGAGGTGGGAAAAGAGCCAGGAAGTGAGTCAGGAAATGAGCCGGGAAGTGAGCTGAGTTGTTATGAGTCTGGGGATGCAGCTGAAACCCTGAGCAGCTCTGGGGAGAAGGACACGCTTGCTCCCAGCGCAGGGCTCTCCCCCAGGACTGCTGCTGATGATGACAGCCTTGCCCAAAGCATGGAGCAGGATTTGGCCGGCAGAGGCATGAGCCAGGAGGTTGAGGAGCACAGGGGGATGATCCAGACCCTCAGTGTCACCTCAGACCTGGCGCTAACGATGACGACGAGCAGCATAGGGTCAGACACCTCCTATTCTTTCTCCTCGGTTGCGAAGATCCAGGTAGAGGAGGGGTTCATCACCGAGCAGCGGGCGAAGGACAGGGCCGGGCAGCCAGTCCCTGGCCTAAAAGGCAAAGTCTATGACTACTACGCCCAGTCCATCTCCCAGTCTGTGTCAAAGAGGAGGTCTCCCCCCTACATCCCCTTGGGAACATCCCAGTGCCACAGCTCAGAGCGAGTCAATGAAGAGATACAGCAGCCAGACCCAGCTTTGGCAATGCGGGATCCTACCACCTCTTCCATAGTTCCAGCATCTACGGGGAGCTTGGAGCCCCATCCTGAGCCCCCGTCTCCTGGCCGCAAGAACAGCATCCTCCACATAGCAGAGAGCCCCCACCTCCAGCTGCCCATGGAGGGGTTTGGGGTCACAGCACCAGTTGACACACGGTCTGCAAGCCCCTGGCTGGGGCTGGTGGCCAGTGCTGACCAAATGCCGCCATCCACCCACCTGGACCTGGGGAACTGCTACGAGGCTCTGTGCACAGCCAAGGCGCAGAAGCTCCACCACCTCCAGGAGGCTGCCTATAAAGTGATGAGTGACAACTACCTGCAGGTGTTGAGGACACCGTCCATCTACGGCCGTCTCAACGCCGGCGAGCGGGACCTCATCCTGCGGCGGAGGATGAAGGGCAAGATGCGCGTGGTCGTGGCAGACGTCAGCCTGCAGGAGCCCGGCCTCCACACCAGCCGTCTCTGCTGCTATGATGAAGGAGGGGACTGCTGGCATCACCTCTGCCACGTGCCACCAGAGGTGGTCTCCCAGGGGTGTGCTATGTGCAGCATGTTCAACTACCTCTTCGTGGTGGCCGGCTGCAAGGGCATGGGCCGGATGCAGAGACCTTCCAACCGTGTCTTCTGCTATGACCCCCTGACCAACATCTGGAGGGAGATCTGCCCCTTGAACCAAGCACGGCCGCACTGCAAGCTCGTGGCCTTGGATGGCCACCTCTATGCCATCGGTGGTGAATGTCTCTACACAGTAGAGCGTTATGACCCCCGGCAGGACCGCTGGACCTTCGCCGCACCCCTTCCCCATGATACCTTTGCTGTGGCCCACACAGCCACAGTGTGTGATGGGGAGATCTACGTGACAGGAGGCACCTTGCGCTACGTGCTGCTGCGATACACGGCCCGCTCGGACAGCTGGAGGGTTAGCCCGGCCAGCGGTGGCAAGAACAGGACAGCCGAGATGGTGAGCACCAACGGCTTCATCTACCGCTTCGACCTCCACCGTGGCACAGGCATTGGTGTCTACCGCTGCAGCGCCAAGGCCAAGCTATGGTATGAATGTGCCACCTACACCATGGCCAACCCCAGTGGCTTCCAGTGCGCTGTAGTGGGCAGCTTGGTCCACTGTGTTGGCCGGCACTTCCACATACGCTTCTTAGCTGACCATATCTCTCCACGCTTTGGGACCAAGGAGCTGCAGCCCTTTCCATCGCCCCACGGCAGCCTCCTCCCAGCCGTCCTGATGCTGCCAGAAGGAGGGATGCCACAAACGCAGGTTTGAGGGATCCATGCAGCAGTGGTGGTGGCTTAGGCATGATGTGATGCTGAAAGATGGTAGAAGCCACCAGCCCACACTGGACCATGTAGCGTGGGACCAACACTACCAGGGCAACGTCACCCACACATACCACCAAGCAGGCATCCTTCCAGGCCCTGTAAGCAAGCAGACAAACTGCCCTTGGATACTGCCAGTAAACCCAGCCTTGAAGACACAAAGAAGAACAAAGCCGGAGCTGGGTGGACTTGTTTGCTTAGAGGTATTTAAACATAGGTGTGCTTGCTTGGACGCAAATAAGACACAGCTTGCTGCAGGCTCACAACTCTGCACTGCCTGCAGGGTTAATATTGACCTGGACACACAACACACAGGGGATTTTAGGGTGGAGGAATATAGAGGGAGGTTTGATCGCTAAGGAGGTATCACACCATTGGCACCGAGCCACCACTGAGCCTTTAGGCTTGACTGTACACATCACCCCAAGGCTGGTGGCTGGGGTGCCCTGCTCCTGTCAGTGCCTTGTTACCTGTTATGTAGAATCCCAGCCTGGTTTGGGTTGGAAGGGACCTCAGAACTCACCCAGCTCCAGCCCCTGCCACGGGCAGGGACACCTTCCATAGAGCAGCTTGCTCCAAGCCCCTGTGTCCAACCTGGCCTTGAACACTGCCAGGGATGGGGCAGCCACAGCTTCTCTGGGCACCCTGTGCCAGCGCCTCAGCACCCTCACAGGGAAGAGCTTCTGCCTTATCTGCAACCTGAACTTCCCCTGTTTCAGTCTGAACCCATCACCCCTTGTCCTATCACTCCAGTCCCTGATGAAGAGCCCCTCTCCAGCATCCTTGCAGCCCCCTTCAGACACTGGAACCTGCTCTGATGCATGCAGCTTCTCTTCTCCAGGCACAGATTTATCTTCTCAGCACAGAATTCTATATATATTTATTTGTACGTGATGTAAATAGGCACTATAGATTTATAGACAGCTGGTCTTAAATGAAATTAAAGTGAACATTGGGTAAAATTAACCACGGCTACTGTTGTGCATCGCTTCAAACCGTAGCCAAGTCTAATGGGAACAAAGAGGCTGATGCATGTTTTACATCGCTAATTACTGCACGAACAACATCTCTGAGGAGGCAACCAAAAGCAAACCAAGGCCCTGGATGTGAGCAGCTGGTCTTTTATCCCCTTTTCCCTGGGTTTCACCAATGTCGCTCTGCTGTCTCCATGTCCTGCTGAAAGCCTACTTCAGGTAATTGCATTTTCTTCCCCTCAGAAGGTTTGTCATCCATCGTCTTTCAGCCCCAGACAGGTATAAACCAGCTCCCAGATGGATAAAACCCTCCTGAACCTGCTTCCTTGGTGGCAGTGGTTCAAGAGCATGAAGTCATGGATGCGCTTGAAGCATCTGGAGATAAGAGATGGTGCTGGAGCAGCCCATGGTATCACCATTTACACCCTGCTGCCCACAGTGATTTAGGAGAGGTTAGGTTAATGTTCTTGTATAGTGCTCCCCAAAATATTACTTCTCGCATCACTGTGTGGAGGCCCCACGTTTCTGCCTTCAGGGCTTCCTATGGAGGTCAGTGGCATCCACCCATATCAGGAAAGCTTGGGGGGCTGGTTAATGAACCCAGCCTCTGAGGTTTGCTCAGTAGCTGCAGCATGTGGGCAATGCAGCCTCTCCCTGTGCTTCAAACTGCCATGGTCCAGCCTCTTTCACCCACCTCTTCCTACACCCACCTAAGATGTCCCAGGGACGCAGCCTCCTGTATCTCAGCATCTGGGATGTTTGGGCTGGTAAACCTTGTGAGTCAAAAACCTCTTCACTATTACCTCCCTGTTATTTAGCTACCTCCACAGCCAGCAATCAGAGCAGCAAGCTCAACAAGATGGGTTCACACATACCCCAACACATTTCTGCTCCCCCAGCAAAACCCAAGTCATGGCTGCTTCCCCAGAGCACCCCAGCCCCTTTGCAACCTGCAAAAGCCTCTTGTCCCCATCAGCATCCCAGCTCCATGCCCTTCATCATCCCTGCCACAGTAGGCTGCGTGCTGGGGGACAGAGGACATGTTGGCTGGATGGGAGCTGGGCAGTTGGAGCCCTTCCAGGTGACAGCTCTTATTTCCATCCCCAGAAAAGCCTTCCTGGGATCCTGCCCTTCTCGCCATGCCCCTTAGCTTCCGCTTAATATTTCACCTCTCCTTTAACTCCTTACTGCCAGGCTGCAACCTCAAAACCCAGCAGCTTTTCCTCCTTCCCCAGTGTGACAGTGAGCAATGAGCAATAACGGGCCATGGGCAGCTCTCCCCCTGCTCCTGCACTATCCAGTATTACCCTGATTCTCCTGGGGAGGCATTTAACAGATTAAAAGCACTGGGGACATCCTGTGCTGGGGCACTGCTTGTTCTGCAGGGAAGGACAAGCAGGTTTGGAGCAACAGCATGCAGGGATCCCGTGACTGATGGTAAAATGGCTTTTGGCTGTGGGTGAGTGAAAGCAAAGGGCAAAGGACAAATGCAAACAGATACTCGGGCCTGGATGACTGGGGTTTGCCCCCAAACACCAGCATAGTGTCACCAAATACCAGCTCCTGCCACCATGCCAGATGCATTTCTGCACTGATTTCTGCATTTCATGCCACTGATTTCCAGTTCTGCCAGACCCCCAGCTCTGTGTTTCTGATGAGCAGCAGCTTTAAACCACAGGCTCGCAGCTCTCAGGAGAGCCATAAGACCATTGAGCAGCTTCAGTGCAGCTTGTGATCTTCGGGATATTATTTATTTACACTGATTGGGCTGGTGAAGCTGCCAGGATTTACAGGGAAAAGGCTTGGGAAGCACGTGGTGCATCCTAATAAAGCTCCACCGTCTGCCCCATGGAGCTGCAAACCACCCCGAGCAAGCTCAATTAATGAGTACTTAGAGGTCACAATAAGCTCAGCCAGGCTGGGGGTTGAGCTCCTGCTCTTGGCAGCTTCTTTTCTTGCTGCAAGACCAGTCACTGAAAGCCAGGCCCCTCACTGGGGCAGGAACCATCAGGATTAGATGGTGAAAGAGAACACAACGACCACCAGGCTCACAAGAGCCAGGAAAACCCATTTCCACCATCCACCAGCAATTCTTCCATCCCTATAACTCCCTCAAGGATACTCTCTCCAGCACCGAGCTCCTTCATCACCAGCACCTGGACCCATTGCTGCCCTCTGAGCCCCCCACTCTGGTGCATCCCCCAGATAAGGGTGCAAGCACTAAACAGTGCTGCTTTGCAGCCACATAGAACCTTTACACTAACTTCTTCTAATCAGGAAGACCCATTATCTCCCCTCCCATGTATATTTAGGCAATTACATAGTTTAATGTACATTGATTCTGATTCTTCATTTTGACATTTCTGATGATGAGGAGAAACCAGGGAGTGACGCAGTTCTTATTTGCTCAGTGCTCTTTTTCCCCTTTTGCAACGTGCCACGCTGGCTGCGAATGGAAATTGGAAGTCAATTAAAGAAGTGCAAAAGCAGCATTTTAAACTCTTTCTTTATTAGTTCAACACGGTTTCCTCCAATGTGTCGGCTACAGCAGGGTGGGAAAGGAAAAAAACCTCAACCAGAAAAAGCGAGCTTCTCCAGACATGTTTTGCATTTAAAGCCAACGTGATACATGAAAGAAATATTAAACGTAGTGAACTGACAAATTAAGTCTCTTGTTCCTGACAAACAGGAGCAAAGTCGTGGCAGTGGTTGAGGAGCCAAGGAGGAATTTCAAGCCAGGGGGAAGGGAAAGACCCATCAGAGCATCTCTAGGTGCCAGGAAGGGAGGTAGCATCGCTCAGCCCCTGGCCATGGTTTCCCCTAGACTCTCTGGAGTGTTGCCTACAGCACTATGAGCACTGCTATGGGTTGCGGTGCCATTAGGAAAGCCTCCATGAGAGTTTTAAAACCAAGGAGAGGTGTCTTGTCCTCTCCCATGCATTTCTTCACCCCTCCTGCACCTAATCCCAGCTGACCACCAGCACGGACCACCTGGAGGCACCAATCCCAACCAAGCTGACCACCAGCAGCCCTTCAGTAGAGCAGATCCTCTCTGCTCCGGTACACACCGGGGAGCAACCCACTTGTGTAAACAGGGAGCTGCACCCAAGCTGCAGAACCTACAAGCAGATGTTAATGAACCAGAGCTCAACACAACCCCATCACTTCCAAGCCCCAGCCGTGCTTGCCCGGTGCCAAAGGGACATTTCCTGGCAGCATCCACAAGGCACCACTCTGGGAATGTCCGCCAGCTCCTTGCGAGCGCGGAGAGGTCAGCGCTAATGAAAGATGCTATCGCAGAGCCGGCGTCTGGCCAGACAAATGTAATTAGTGGTATTTGCAGAAGACAAACCTTGGCGGGGACAGGGAGGGAGGGAGCACATCCCCTTGTGATCATTTTGGGGAGAAAACACGGCCATTTGGAGGCCTTCCAAGACAGAACAACAGCCTCGCCAACGACTCTTTAATTAAAACGCGGGCGGCGTTCGAAGGGAGAAGGGCTGCGTGTGAATAAGCGCGGTGATAAAATATGCATCGACTCCAGCAGAAGTTCTCCCTCCCCGGCACAAGCTTTTGCTTCAACTGTTGATGGGGTTTTGATTCACAAGCTCCAGCGAGGAGGGAACGTTTGCCAGCTACTATTCCAACCCCGGCGGGTTATAGCCACGCTGTAGTTTAGGATGTGTCGTAAACACAGATCAGAAACGCTATAGAAGGAGGGGAAAAAAGCCAAACCTGGCTGGAGTTTAGCATCCTGAGAGCGCAGGCCAAAGGCACTTCTCTGTTACTGGAATAAAATCAATAAAGCTCATTTTTATTTACAGAAGAGCCAAAGAGGGGAGAAGGAAAAACTCCTCAAGTGGTAGGAAGGGGATAGGGGTGTTTATGGGTTTCAGTTGGGTTTCACCCACAAGGCACTGGGCAGTGATTTCAAGGTGAAAAGCAGCAGTTGGGCTCTTCTCAGATGACTTTCATAGACCTTACTAAAAACAACCCCATGTTCTTTAGAGGTTCCAACCCTGGGGTGAAAACCTGCACCCTAAGACAAGCTGAGGAGATGTTCTCTCCCAGGAAGCTACCATCCAGCAGATAAAACCACATCTATTATTATATCAGCTAGTTTGGTTCATCACTCTCCTACAACATGCTCTGGGCATGGAGAAGCATTGAGCATGCGGTTTGTGGACAACGGATTCCATGCGGGGTCACTGCCCTAAAGTTACCTACATTCCCACCGGGGTAAATAACCCTTTAGCTCATCACTGTTTTCCAAAGAGGAGGATTCAGGCTGATGCTCAAGTTGCTTCAAGTCAACATCATTTGTTCACTTCACACCTCCCAGAAATTGCCTTTTTGCCAAGCTTGAAGGAGCCCAGACTGGCCACAGCCGATAAAGGGCTTAGGGTTGATGCCAAGAGCCAGCGAGGCTCCAGAAAGGGTTTGGGAGGAGGGACACCAGCTCCATCCCAGCCACCCTATGGAAAACCCAAGCCTGCAGCAGCTCAGCCAGGTCCTGTATTTCCCTTCCCCAACAGGGACCTCTTCTCCTCCAGTACCTTCCCAAGAGAGGAAGAGTAGGGGGCGGGAGGATTGCATTTATCACGATACTCATTGATGCACAACAACTACCAAGAAAGCAGCTGGAAAGCCAATAAGAGAGAAAAATAATACAGTAAGGAATCAGTGGAAATGCTTCCACATTGGGAAGGAGCCGAGTAACTGGATGCTGCCCAGAACAGCATCCCAGGCAGCTTGAGAGCTTTTAGCCATTGGAGGTGGAGGCAGGAGGGCTTCAGCTCAGCTGCATTGTAGCAGCAAGGGGGTTAATTTGCTGCTGTGATGGATTTGCAGTGCCTGAGGTCGATAAACAGGGCAGTAATTATGTTGCATTTCTCTGATGGCTGCAGATCCTTAATAAAAATCAACACAATAGTTCACTAAATCTCAGCGACACGCAAACTCCATCCATCATTTCGCTCCCAGCTGAAGCTT